AATAGTTTATTGTTTTGTAAGTGGGTCATATATATTGATAACAATAATAGTATATTGTTATCATTATATTCGTTAGTCCTATTTGGAAAATATTGCATAATAATTTTTTCAACATGCTATGCGTATAACTTCTTTTAATTAACTTTTTTATTTATTTTACAAGTACACCATAGAAACTTATCATTCTTTCACAAGTTGGCATGTGATCATTTTCTACGTTCTCTTTTGCAAAAACTAATTCACTTGCCATTCACCATTAAGAGAATGCATTATGACATAACGAATCTTGATAGATATGACAACCTTCTTAAAATGTGACTTTTTACAATTAAGCCATTAACCTTTTAATACTATGTATTTAGATAAACAATAAATATTTACCAACAAGATCCACACATTTTTTTTTTTTACATTAATTGCTTTATATAAATGAGGCAAAACATTCTTTTTTTTTTTAACAGCTAAAATTTCACGATTTTAACTTTTAAATTTAAGCTTTATTTTTTAATCCTTTATTTATCTTCTTCTTAAATTTCATTTATATACTAAAAATTAATTTGCAAGGATTTATTTATCTATTGTATTTACTTTATCACACTTATAAATGTAGAAATCTAATTTTGAGAGATTATATGGATGGAATATTTATTAATACAATAATAGATCAAAATTTGGCATATATGAGATGTATAAATATAAGCTAATAACATCCCATAGATCATAGCTCAATTAGATAGAATTTTTATACACCTAACTAATGTTGTCAATACCGTACCGACATACATACATATCAATTTTGCTACTAAAACGGTACGTACTGAATACCAGAATTTATTGTATATCATTTTCAATTTATTGCTATAAATATATATTTTTATAAATTAAATATCAAATTTTAAAATAATTATAAGAGAAACTAAAGTAGTTGGGGACAAGATTTGGGAAAACCTTTTGAATTGGTAACAATATCTTTTTTCTTCAACTATTAACCTAAGTCCCATAATAACCTAAGCAAAGATCCTTTGGATGGTTTAAGTTAAAGACATTAAAATAATGATAATCACTAAACAAATGATAACAAATCCGTTCAATTTAGAAAAGCTAAAATATTCAATGATGAAAAGCCTTCTTTCTATATTTGAAACACATGGCATCAAATTTCCACTAGTTAGTAGTTACTCATGTGAGCTAGAAAAAAAAAAAAAAAAGGCAATTGTCATTCATATTACAATCATAGAAACAAACACCTAAATGGGTTCATCATAGGGGTTTTCAAATTGTTTCTACTAAAGGACAATTATGAACAAACAACAAAAGTAACATTATTAATTATCTTGGAAAATGCATGCCAATTGAAAATTGTAGAAAAATAGAAAAGGAAGAACAATCATCTATTGCTAAACATGTACACAATTGCTCACTGTCACTGGTCAAACCCCTACGAACTTGAAATTCTAAATTGAAAAACAAAAGGAAGAACAATTAAGAATTTCACTTATACTTGGGATACGGAGCTAGGCTGTTGGAGATTGGTAAAGAGATACACGAAGTACTCTCCAAGATCTAGGGCTTGTGAAACAAGAAATGGAAAAAGAAAGCAGTGGCAGCGAAGTATTCACCAGCCCATCGGCAACGAGTCAAGGACGAGGTTTGTGAGGAAGGAGGATAACAGATATCTGCAATATGAAATTATAGGGTTAA